AATTAAATTAATTTCAAACAATAAAATCAAAACCCATAAATCAATAATTATAAGGATATTTTGGATTTTAACACCTGACAAAAGGCTGAAAATGGTTTTTAACACCCCCCAAAAAAAAACTTTTATTTTAACACCTCCCAAAAATATAAAAGTTGGAAGTTAACACCAGTTAACGATTTCCGTCACGGAAATTTAACGTGGGTCCCACAAATTGGCTTCAACTTCAATTTTCACCCAGCAAAACACGAAACTTCCTCTCTGAACCTTCATTTCATTGATTTTATCCATTACAGATTTTTGGTGCTCATAATTTACAGATTTACAGATTTTTGGTGCTCATAAATCAAACCATACAAAAAATAAATAAAAATTCAACACCGGTTCATCTTCTCCTTCGTTGGAGAACAAAGCGACTGAGAACTTCCATTTTTTTTACCACCAATTCCGCCGCCCATAAAGGGCCCTGTACGGCTACTGACCAAGCCTTCGCAGCCAGCAAACATGTTAACTGGGGACCGGCCACCAAAATTAAATCAACCACCCAAGAAACCAACCTTGCCCCATCCCGTTAGCCACCCAGCTCCCTCCCCCGACCGACGACCGGCGAACCCATCCCACCCCTTTTCCCCACAAACGCAACCCAACCCTCTCCCTTTTCCCCTGCTGCCCCGACCCAAGCCACCACACCGAAACCACAATCAAAGATCTGAATCGCCGCAACCACCACCACTACCACCACTCTTCTGCAACACTTTGCTCCAAACCCTAACGAATCGACCCGCCTTAACCTTTTCGGCCACCCTAACCCCTAAACCACCACACCGTAACTTTTTTCGGCAAACTTAAATTGATTTCTAGACGAGGTTCGATGGATCTGCGATTTGCTCTGATTTCGGGAATTGATGTTGGGAATTGATTTTTTGCGGTTTGAGTGAGGAGGTGGCTGCAGGGGTTGCGATTGTGGGCTGGTATTTGGAGAGGAGCTGATTTGGTTGCGAGAACGGGGAAAGGGAAGGGGGGTGGGTTCGGTTGGCAGCGTAGGGGTGGGGGAAAGGGAGGGGGGAGGGAAGGGGTGGCAGTTGAGGGGAGGGTGGGCAAGAACGAAGGAAAGAGTTTGGGATGGCAGCCATGAAGATGAAGGGAGGAAGAAGACGAAGAAAAGATGAAGGGAGGAATAAGAAGAAAAAATGGGATGGCAGCCACGAAGGTGGGTTTCGTAAAAAATTGAAAACGAAGGAGAGTTGAAGCCAATTTATGGGACCCACGTTAAATTTCCGTGACGGAAATCGTTAACTGGTGTTAACTTCCAACTTTTATATTTTTGGGAGGTGTTAAAATAAAAGTTTTTTTTTGGGGGGTGTTAAAAACCATTTTCAGCCTTTTGTCAGGTGTTAAAATCCAAAATATCCTAATTATAATTACACAAATTAATAAAACAAAGGAGAGAGAAAATAAGACTAACCTTTTTGTGTGGGAAATTTTTAGGGATTCATGGGGTATTTATAGAGTAGAGAGTATAGGGTTAAATTTGGGCTTATAAAAATGTGGGCTTGAGTTATGGGTTTTGGAATGGGTTATTCCAATAAGAGTATGTAGGAATAATTTACATTGCCTAATAATTAATAAACGTTTGGCCCAAAATATATTTTACTTTTATAAAACTTTATATTTAAAATACTTTAACCCTTTAAAATATTTAGTTAAAATACTTGAGCCCTTGACAATACATTTTATTAATATTTAAATACTTTATAAAAGTACATAAAAATACAAATACGGGGTATTACACTTAATAAGTTTGTATATGGTCCAATTGGACAAGGAGGTATTATATTTTATAAATTGTTTTTATTTATTAAATTTCATTAATATACACCTTTTTGGTTTTTTATTAATTAATATAATGAAATAATCTAACTTAATTGTAGCCTTGTAGGGTGATTAATATACATCTTATTTTTAATTGCAGGGTGATTACGTTCATACCTCAATTAAAGCCAACTTTGTCCAACACTTTCGTCTAAAATATATTGAAGGAAATAATTTCCTTATATGGAGCATGTTTATTTTAGCTTTGGAATTACAATATTTTCTTCAAAATACATACATTTTAACAAAACAAAATGAATACTCCGTACATATTAATTAGAATTAACATATTCAATTTCCAATAAATACTTAGAAGCTAATCTAAATAAATACTATTCGTATAATGTACAAAGGGATTTATAAAAAAGATTTATAAGTTTTTAAAAAAGGGAAAAAATCAAAAAAAGATTCAAAAATATTACAATAAAATCCGTGCATCGCACGGGCTTACATCTAGTAGTCTAAAAAAGAGGCTAGCTCCCTAGTGACTCAAGATTACAATAAAAACAAGGAGGTTTAGCTCTCTTGGCTAAACTAACACAAGAACTAGACTGATAAGAATGGCGGACACAACATTCATGGCTTGCTTGGCCGTACAAATAAGGAGATTAACAGATTCGATCATGGAAATTAGTCATAAGTGGCCCCAATCGTAACCCCTTTTTTTTATTTTTTTTTTAATTTTTTTTTGTTAGTGTCAATCCAATACCATCAAAAACTATTAGCCTTGTTTGTGTTATACCATTGAATAAATTTGTGTCTATACGAGTGAAAACACGATTTTGTTTTGACTTTAGCCTAGGTCCAAATTGCTTATTCAATTACTCCCTTTGTTGCAACAAAATCATCAAAATTGTTATTATCTAACCCTAGAGTGTTGAGTAATTTAGAGTATTGAGATTATTTCCATAATTGTTATATTAATTTGCTTAGGATAAGGTGTAGCAAATTAATTAGCAAAAGATAGAGCAAAGACAAACTCAAATTTGCAGCAACAAATGTCACTCGATCGAGCCTTAGAAGCCCGATCGTACGTGAGGACAAACAAGTAAGATGTTGTTGTGAAGTTCGATCGGGCTATGGCAGCTCGATCGGGCCTGTGTGTGTGGCGTTTTATTCCCACCCAGCCGCCCGATCGGGCAACAGCCTCTCGATCGGGCCCGCACACATGAAATCATATTGAATTATGCTCGCCCGATCGAAAGGTAGTCGCCCGATCGGGCCCTCATATTTCTGGAATTAACGTCAATTGATATTGACGGTTATTCTCGTGACTTTGCTCTAGTTATATATATACTCTGATATATATGATGGAAGTTTGATAAAATGGGAAAAAGAAGAACAGTAACTTCTATTTTCATTTTTCTTGTTTGCAAAGGTTTTTAATTATCATCATCACAAATCACATACACTTATCTACGTTGTATTGTAATCATCCTACTTGTGATTGCAATTATTCTTCGTTGTATCTCCTAAGTAAATTTCCGTGAAACCCGGTTGTAGTATAGGGTCGGAATTATACTTTTGGGAAAGTGATTCCGTTCACGCCTCGAAGATTTTACCAGTTTATTTTGTTTGCTTTCTTTGTGACCCTTGTTAAACACAAAATCCCCAACAATGAGAAATTTTTTTGACACAACCCTAGAAAAATTATTGGTACAAAGAACATAAAATATTGGGAACTTCTTGCAAATTAAGCTCTTGGCATATGATACATACAGAGTATTTTATATGTACACAGTAAGGGCCTGTTCCGATTGACTGAACTTAGCTGAACTGAACTGAACCGAACTGAACTGAACTGAGCTGAACTTATTAATTAGTGATTTTTAACTACGGATTAGTGATATTTGATTATTTATTGATTATTTATTACTATACATATGCGTATATACAAATGTACATATTATTATTAATATTATTATTATTAATTATTGATGATTATTATTATTATTATTATTATTATTATTTATTGATTATTATTATTATTATTGTTATTATTATTATTATTATTTATTGATGATTATTATTATTATTAATTATTTATTGATTATTATTATTAGTATTACTATTGCAATTATTATTATTATTATTTATTGATTATTATTATTAGTATTACTATTGCAATTATTATTATTATTATTATTATTATTATTATTTATTGATTATTATTATTATTATTATTATTATTATTATTTATTACTTATTGATTATTACTTATTGATTATTATTATTATTATCATTATTGTTGTTGTTGTCGTTGTAATAATGAAATTTGACTTTATATCATTAGCAATATCATTAGACGTAAATTAAGAGCTGAACTGAACTAAACTGAATTGAATTTCAACGGAAGAGAACATGCCCTAATACACTAATACCTCATATTTGTGATTAATTCATTCTTTAATGGAGAATAAATTATCACGCCAATTGGATGATTTGAGTTACGAAGGTTATACGCAATGTAAAAAGAGTGCAACCAAAAGTTCCATCCTTAATCACACCATTAAGATGATCAAACAAAGGATAATCCCATATGCAACATGCTTAGATACAGTTATAGTCATCCCAAGACATAGTATATATACATCCTAAAACTGGGATAAATTCACAAAACAACACAAAGCAAAACAAAACAAAACAAACACATTCAAAAAGACTGAGTTAAGGAAAAAAAAACAAGACTTGAACTATGAATTCCCAAGCAAAATTCGTCTTCTGCATTCTTGCAATGACTTCAGTGATACTATCTGAGGTAATTGCTGAGCCAATGCCTGAATGCTTTATCGACTGTGGAACCGACATTGTTGGGTGTGCAGGGAAGTGTATCATGGATGCGACGCCAGACATATTCGATTGTATTACTGGCTGTGGACAAGCAAACCTTAAATGTTTGGCCAATTGTACAGGAGATGAGCTGCCAAAAGCTCCAGCTCCTAGCCCTAAAAGCTTTAAATTGCCATACTCTTTATAAACAGCAAAGAATATGGTAAAATACATCATATTTAAGCTCATTGTAATAATTATGTAACTCAAAAGATATGCCCTTCTACAGGGGTCAAAATAATGGGTTTATTCTTGTAAGAATATCCCTCTTCTCATTGTACCCTGTGATAAAACAGTGGAAATGAAATAAATTACAGTTATGTATATACTTTTATGAAAGCATCTCTCAAATTCTCACTCATCATTTCATCAACAATCTGCATCATATTAGAGAAAATGATGATGTCATATAGACAAGTAGTTTTTAGTAAATCATTGTACATATACCAAAGTTAGATACAGAGTAACTAACATTATTCAGTTATTCACAGAGTGTACCTTAAGAAATACAACATGTAGAGTTTCACATGTCCATTTGAAATTAACCATGGTACTACAAAAATCAATAATTTTCTTGACCAAATGATAAATTAAAGCAAGGCTCGCCTGATATCAATGTCAATTTCCAATAAGATAGAAGAAGTGTAGTACAGAGTAGATCACGTGTCTAGTCAGCACAACATCTGCTTGCAAAAAGCTTGATACTTAGTCTCGTAATTAGCGACTGTTCTTCTCTTCTATTCCTGATTTGGAGAATCTTTTTCGGAGGACTTCAAGGACATCCTCCATCTTCACATCTTTAAGTGCCAGAAGAACCATAGAATGATAAAGCACATCTGCCATCTCTGAAGCAGCTCGAGACTTCTCCTCGTCATTTTCTAGTGTGCGGCACAACTCATCTGCCTCTTCCCTGAGATATAAAAATGGTGAAAAAGAAACCTCTATATATATTTTCTTTTATAAAGAGAAGACTAAAGGTCGTACACCCAAGTTATTTTGCCAAGGCATTGAGCCTGTCATTCTATTTGTTTGGAATCTAATTAGACTAATATGGCTGAAAACCTGAAGTTATATTAGGTAAGGTCACAAACCTGACTTTTGAGCAGAGCAATTTTTCATCAAGCAATAACTTTTTCGTCCATGAAGGTTTGCTTTCTATCTTTCTTACTATTTCATCTTTCCGCTCAGAAATTGTTGATTCAAGTGAGTACAAAGTAGTCATGGCCAATATGTCTTTTTTAACCTAAAGACCACACCATAATGCATCAAAATTTCTTCAATTAACTATAAAAGTCTGGCCTGGAAAAGTTGCATGTGCCACAGGGTGCCATGGGCACACAGTATACCTGAGGATTTTCCACAATGCTGGAAACGGAGGAATAGTAACAAGTTTCTGCTCCAGTATGACAAGTTGGTCCATCAGGCTTCCCCAGGTATATAATCTGAAACACAAATTAGTGCTTCTAAGCAAACAATAAGATAAAATAGAAGATTCATTTAAAACAAAAAAGGCAGTACACACAATACATACCGAGTCACGGTCACAATCTAGAAAAATGTCATGTACATTGATGAAGTTAGAAGATGTCTCTCCCTTTATCCACAATTGTTTCCTTGATCTGCTGTAGAAAGTTGCCTTGCGAGAAGAAATAGAAGTGGCTAGCGCTTCCCTGTTAGCAAAGCCTTGCATTAAAATAGCTCCAGTATCCACATTTTGAGCTATAGCGACTGCTAAACCTTTATCATCCCACTTGACACTGTCTAACAAGGTCTCAACCTAGAATAGTCACATTTACCAATTAATCTCCATCACATAGAATCAGATAACAAACCTCAAGGATAGAGATGTCATCACAAAAGTTATTGGCGGCTATCAAAATGATCAACAAAGATGATCAAATAAGTTCAAACTGTACAAGCAACAAGAGCAGTTCGTGTAAAACCAAAAAAGGTTTTAAGGTAAGAAGTGTCAGATCAAAGAATTGATAAAAATCATGTAAAGACACAAGATCTAGAAAATTCCTAGCAACTACTAGAAGCTAACCAAAGGTTAACTTTTAACAAGCAACCAATCTTTATATAGCAGCTTGTATTTGAAGAAAAGAAGCAACTAGAACAATACAACTTGCTAGAATTTTTTTTTTTCTTCTGAAGACAATATAGGTGGTGTATAATAATAATAATGGAAATAATGGTCAACTGTATGATTCAGTCATGCACAAGGCAAACAAAAAGATAAATCCTATAGTAGGATATTGTAATAAGAATCATGTATTCAGTTAAGCTCCAGCTCAATAAAAACAATGCACACAACTGGAAAGTAATGGGAAACCTTAATACCAACTTAACTCACCATATTACTGCTACAAACCACCCTAGGCATCCACCTTTATTCACATAGAAAGACCCCAAGGGTAACAGGAAAAAGCAAGCCAGAGTTAGTTATTGTCAGAAGCAGAAGGACAAAGGGTCAAAAGAAAGTCTGATGTAATTAATAGAGAATAATGAATCTTTGGAGAATCATGTTGAATAAAGTGAGAGAAAAATCATGAGGTATGCAGTCAAGCTCTAACTCAATGGTTACCAATGCAAACTACTGGAAAACAATGTACATTGACCTGCGCTTGGATCTCATCTAAAGTCCAAAGCTCATAACTGCTGACGCTTCTTACAAAATCTAGCTATTCACAGGAACTTTGACTAAACATTCATGGCAGGATCCCTGATGATCAACGAGAGATACAAAATTTCAATTGATGAGCAGGAAACTTATCTTCTAACATCATGACCTTATCCTTTCATTTTTTTCTAGCAGCAATAAGCATTATTTTCAATATAAGTCAACTACAACAAATCCAAGAATCTACCCAAATATGAGTAAATATCATTGGGCATTTTTAAAGCATGGAAAAGAGTATATAATTGTAGGAAAAGAGCACGTAATAAAACTAATAATTAATAAGAAGTGGGGAAAGAACTTCTAGATTGTTTTAGAATGATTTTCTACTCCTAATAAACAGTCAGCAATAGAACACAAAATGCAAATTGGTTACTGTCTGACTAAAACATTCAAAATTACATCGAACATCTCCCTCTGCTCCCATGTTTTGTCTTTGAAGGTTATGCACACATTTGAAGAACTTATGTCCAAAATTTGTGTAAGACCGTCTTACTATCATAAGACCACTTTTGTGTGCCACTCCATAAGAATCTATCCTAGCTTCTCTATCCCCTTGGCCCCACCCACGTACAATGTGGTCTTAACAGTCTAATCCAAAAAATTTGTCAATCATTGCATTAGAGATCAAAACTGACAAATCAAATTTTATAGTACTTTAAGGTAACTATGTTCAACCAAAATACACTTTTGTATGGAGGGAGTATACAGCAATAACCTGTTCTGCAGCAGATAATTTGGTGTAATGTACAATTGTTGAAACAACAGGTTGATACTTATTATAGTGTTACTAGATCATAAAATAGTTTATCTACACCAGAGTGTCAAGAAACATTGATTTAAACAGCATTTAGTCTAAATTTGTGCTACAAACAACAAAAAATACCCACCAGGCTATATAAGCAGCCAAAGCAAGTGCAAACCAGTACCAAAACAAGCAAGAAGCAGGAAATGAGAACTCACTCTCTTGTCAAAGGAAAGACCTTTGTCTGCCACAGAAGAGCATGCCAAAACTTGCAACCGCGTCTTCTTAAAATTCCCACATCTATAATTCAAACCCCTGGGTAATGCAACGCGAGGAACAATGGAATTTCGTATACAATGAGGGGAGGAAATTGCCATTGATGAACTACAAAGGAAATCACAAGTTTCAATGTTAGCATTTAGAAATTAGCAATGGGGTTGTGACTCTTGTTAGTACAATAACAAATAAACCGATTACAAATTACAAATTTCAATCAATTTCTTCATCTAGATACACCCATGAAGGCAAAATTAACAGCCAACTAATCAAAACTCAATACATTCACAAATTAATCGACTAAACTACACACATTGAGCTAAACCCATCAAATCATTGGTCATTTTCATGCTAATAATCAAAGATTGAATGGTTAAAAACAAAAGGCTGCTACGAAATGGCAACCAAATTGAACTCAATTATCAAATTAAGCTCCAAAAATCACATAAAAAACTTCTAGCATAAGAATATCAACAAAATGGCCCTTTCTAAACTTTCATAATTTCAGCAATCACAATCAATAATTCAATAATCCAACATAGAAAAACCCCAAATTGACTATACTGACAAATAAATCAACGATAAACCCTAGATTTTGCAATTGATGATTAAAAATGAAGCTTACTTGAGATGAATCAATGGAGGAGAGAAATATCAGAAGCCGCTTGGAGGGATTATTGGGAATATGCTTCAATGGAGGAGAGAGAGAGGCGCAGCTTAACAGTGAGTGAAAAGCTTCAAATGAAGATACAGGAGAAGATTCATCACTCATGACACCAACTCAACACGGTGATGAGGTCGAGTGTTCGAACCTCACTGCCCTCACAATCACACTTTTCACACTATTCATCATGGGTACTTTTTAAAATTGTTTTTCCTTATAAATATCGACTTGTTATGAAGTTCGGAGTATAATTTTTATTTATTGATGATACGAGTACTACATTAAAAACGAGTATTAATTTTATTGCAAATACTCAATCAATATAAGACATTTACTTATATTTCAAATGCCTTATTTAATTGAACATTAATTATTTTATTAGTTAAAACCTACTCCGTACTTACAAAGGTCATGTTCACTTTTGCTTAATTTCAGTACAGTTTAGTTCGGTTCAGCTCCAATCAGTTCAGTTCAGCTCCTAATTTCCTTCTATCATAAAATATTTATTTTAGCTCTATTCAGTTCAATTCAGCTCCAATCAGCTCAGTTCAGTAAATATGAACAGAGCCTAATTATGCTAATCAAACTTATTTTTTATTAATTGTACTATGTTAATCACAGCTTATTTTCTCGATTCCCTAAAACCCCCTTAAGATATGGGACTTGTTATTCATCGCCCGCAAATCTCTACATAAAGCCCACATTTTATAATTTTTTGACAAATTTGCCCTTTTTATAATTTTAACCGAAGATAAATTTTTCGCACTAAAAAAATGTGGAGCAGCACCGGATCGCCGAGGATCACCGGAGAATCGCCGTCGTCATCGGAAAACGAGGTTCGTAACGCATCGTAAGGACGAAATGGTGGCTGGCGCCTAGCCAAAAGGCCATGCCGTGGTTGTGGCGCCTAGCCAGGACGCCGCCACCGTGGTAACGGCGCCTGGTGGAGAAGCCTCGACCATGGTAGTGGCGCGTGGCCAGGACGCCGAAGCCACGGCCAGAGCGCCTGGCTAGGACGCCGCCACCATGGCGGCGGCGTCCTGACCAGGCGCCCCGGCCGTGGCTCCGGCGTCCTGACCAGGCGCCCAGGCCGTGGCTCCGGCGTCCTGGCCAGGCGCCACTAGGGGAATATATATATATATATATATTTTTTTTTTTTTTTTTGATTTTTTAATTTAATCCCCTTTTTTTTTTTTGTTTTTTTTGTTTTGTTTTTGTTTTTTTTTATTTGTTTGTTTTTATTTTTGTTTGTTTTTCTTTTTCTTTTTTTTTTTTTTTTAATTTAATCCCCTTTTTTTTTTTTTTTTTTTTTTTGTTTTATTTTGTTTTATTTTGTTTTGTATTTGTTTATTTTTTTTTATTATGGTTTTTTTTGTTTGTTTATTTATGTTTGATAAATTTGAAATGAAATGTGTGTTATTATTTTGTTTTTTAAATGTATTATGCGTTAAATATAAAAATGATATTTAGAAATTTAAAATTTAGAAATTGCGTTTGTGATAATTTTGTGTTAAGTGTATTAATTTAATCTTAATGTAATTATATTTATACGTTATATGTTATTGTTACAGGATTATGGTGGAGACGGAAATGATTACAGTGGGATTTTTGTCCTTGATGGCCTGTTCGAAGATGCTCAACAAGCGATTGATTGGGCAAAACAGGTTGCAATTAGATCAGGCTTTTGTTTAGTAGTAGCAACTCATAAATCTCAACGGGATGGTAGAATGGATCGCATTTTGAGATGCGACCGTTATCGCAAAAGAGAAGAACGAGATTTCAGTAAAGCGATTCGGTTTGACTCAAAGCGTGGAGGGTTGGGATGCTTTGTACCATGCTCGCGTGCAACAGTGGAACAATTTAATTGCCATGTAGTTTTTGTTGATGTACACCTACCTTTTACTATGAGGCCTTGTATTGTCAATACTATGTCATTTCTATATGTTCATTTTTAAAAGATAATGTTTCATTTTAAAAACTAACAACAATAATTTCACAATATTACAAACTAAAAAGATAATATTGAATTTTAAAAACTAAGAACAATAATTTCAAATATTACAAACTAAAAAGATAATGTCTAATTTCAAATATCAGTAATCCCTCTGTGACGCCCACTGCCACTGCTCAAGAGTCCGTTCCAGATCGTCAATAACAGCTCTGCCTGATGCACTCGTCATGCAGTCCCTTTCCTCAAAAAGTCGGTGTCCCAACTGCATAATCTTGCCCATCCACTACACAAAACAAAAAACATGAAACGACGTATTATACATATATATATTAAAATAAGAGAACAACAAATAAAAGATGAGACGTACCGCATAAGAGGCAGTGGCAGGTGGCACATCGTCATCATCTGCGTCGTCGATGTCTTTGATCAACCTCGGGTGCGAGTGCCGGATGTACCATTCCATGTAGTGCTGGTCACACATGGCAGTCACCCCACTTGGCGGCCGCTGCAGCTCCGCCGTACTGCCTTACTGGGCCATGCCGGTGGAGGTGGGACAACTTGGACAAATCCAAGCTGGCGAAGACAGCGCTGCGGCATGTACGCCTCTACGATCTCGCGATACTGAATCAGTCCGGTGTAGAGGGTCCTGGGTACCCTATTACTAGGGTTCTGGCCGAAAGGCATCCAGTTCACCTGCACATTATTTAAAATCAGTAACAGTCATAAAATAAAGCATCAGATTGTAAAAGTAGAAATAATTTAATCACTGTACCTCTAAGGGGGACATCCTGTCAAGCGATAACCGTATGGAGCGCAGGCGGTCAACGGACTTCTTCTCGACACGCGGACTCCACGCACAGGCACGTGGCTGGCCATCACCAATGGGAACCGGGTCGCGGTGTGGTCGAAACGCAGGAAAATACTCATATATCCAGGTCTGTAACAACGTCAGACATCCAGTGATACCTGCTGCATCAGCCCGACTCGAGAATCCTAACTGGCGATACAGATACGCCAGCGTAGCCGACCCCCAAGAAAACTGGCCTACTCTGTCGGGCTCACACGCGTCAACTATGTCGCGTGGCCTGAGCTTGTTCCCGCTCTTATCCGGAAACAAGGTACACCCGAGAAGAAGAAAAACATATGCAGCCAGCTGTGTGTCCTGCGTCCTACGTGCCGTAGGGTGCAAACATCGCTGCAAGACGGCTGCGATCTTAACGCCGTCGTGATCCCACACACCAAGTGCCGATGTGTACAGCGCAGCCCTATCCACCGCCAACAGCTCCGCTAGTAAATCTGCCTGATCCGCATCAGCGTCCAGTCAATCATGTCGTGCATGGTGGCAGGAAGGTGACTCACTCTAGTGCCCCTCAATCGCCCGACCATCTCGCTCTCCTCCGGCCAAGCATCAGCCCAGCTACACAAAAACCTACAAGTCTTTTCCCGGGTTTGGCATTTCAAAATGCCTGTATCCAAAGCCCTCTCCTGGTCCTCCCAAATACGGGTAGCGATGTGTCCTAAAAAGCTAGGAATCACACTCCCGTCTATAGGTCCCCCGGCCACCTCACCCCTCACCATCCAAGAATCATTAACGGCCCTCGACCGTTTTCTGCTACCCGCAGACACAGTGGACGCAGATGATGTGCCAGATCTACTAACAAACCTACCATCTCGACCCTTACGCACATCTACCCTATGCGTCTCATACGTATCATCAAGCCTCTGACTGAATGGACCGTAATCATCATATGGTCCACTCTGATCGTCGACATCCTCATCTGCATCATCCTCGTCCTCGACCTCCTCCTCCTCGACCTCCTCCTCCTCCTCCTCATCATCATCTTGATCGTCCGCAGAACAGTGCACCCGTTCTCTGCGGGCCGAGGCCGAAATACCACGGGATCTAACGTGTCTGGGCCCCGAGCTCTCCATTGAGTAGATCGTACTCCTCACGACGTCAATACTCTTCCCCGCACCAGGTCCAAATTGCGATGCCTAACTCCAAGTAAATAACGAAACATAATAACGAAAACAAATTAAAAAAAGTCGAAAATAAACACAAAAGCAAATAAACAAGTCACGGAAATAAAATTATAAACATAAAAAATATAAATATATACAAGACAATATACATATAAACATAAGAAATATAAACATAAACATATACCAAAAACAAAAAATATAAACTACAAACAAAAAAAAAACAAACATAAACAAAAACAAAAACAAAAAATATTACCAAAAACAAAAAATATAAATACAAAAAAGGACGAAAATAAACACAAAAGCAAATAAACAAGTAACGGAAATAAAATTATAAACATAAAAAATAAAAATATAAACAACACAATATAAATAAAAACATAAAAAATATAAATATAAACATAAAAAAATATAAATATGAACAAAACAATATACCAAAAACAAAATATATAACCAAAAACAAAAAATATAAACAACAAACTAAAAAATGAAAAACATAAACAAAAACAAAAAATCAAAAATGCAAAGAAAAAACCAAAAACAAAAAACTCACAAAACTTAAAAAATTTAAAATTGCAAAAACTTAAAAAAAGAAGAACATCAAAATTTTAAAGAAAATTTATAAAAAAAAAAGGGAACTTATAATTTTTTTACATACAAAAATATAATTCAAAAAAAAAAAAAATACATAGGAACATAAAATTAAAAATTAAAACCAGAAACAATCTTTTTTTTTAAAAAAAAAATAGAACATAAAATTAAAACAAATAAAAAAACAAAATTTAAAAAAAAAAAGATAAAAAAAAAAGGGAACATACAATTTAAAAAAAAGAAAAACAAATTTTTAAAAAAAAAAAAAAATTCGAAAATAAAATTTAAAATTAAAAAAAAACAAAAAAAAAATTTTTAAAAAAAAGAGAAGGAGGCGCCTAGGCAAGACGCCCGTACGGTGGTGGCGGCGCCTTGCCCAGACGCCACTACCACGGCTGTGGCGCTTAGCCTATGCGCCGCCGCCGTGGTAGTGGCGTCTGGTCTAGGCGCCGTCACCACCATATGGGCGTCTTGCCTAGGCGCTTCCTCCGTGGTGGTGGCGTCTCGCCTTGACGCCCCACCGTCGCCGGAGGTTTTTTTTTAAAAAAAAAAATTACAAAAATTTAAAAAATTACCTTCTGGCCGGCAAACCGCCTTCCGCCCACCG